TTATGCTTATGAAACCATCAATAAATCTACTTTTGGTTTTCGAACAGCACACTATATTATAAATTCCATTTTCATACTATGAAAATTTAGTTTACATTACATTTTGGCATTGAAATTTTGAATTTCCGTTAACCGGCGGTCGTGTAGAGCGAGAGGGTATAGTATAGCATTATTTGCACGTCATACTTCAAGACCTCATTATCCATACTCACAAAAACGACAAACTCAAAAGTGCATAGCTCATCATATATTATTTGATACGGGTTGTTATTTTTTAATCAGTGTGTTTACGTTTACAATGTGGTTTTGATCCCAAGCGTAAGCAAAAAAAAAAAAAAAAAAATATATATATATAATCGATATATAACATCGCAGAGCTGCTTGGTTCTTAAATTTTAAAAATAATATTTTTAGAAACAATGAGCGTGTTTTATTGTATAATTGCGTACGATATAGATCTTCATGTGTGAATGTTTACCGACATCGGGTTCACGTTGAGAACTGGATCGTTTTGCATACATCGTGCACCATAAATCGATTAAAACCCCTCATCGCCCCGGCAACGCTATATACGTGCTCGTGGAAGAGCGACCTCCCGTGACTCTCTTTCCAATAAGGACGTTTTGCCGCCGTCTACGGAGAGGGTACTTTCGAACGGAAAAATAGACTCGACGGGCCGTGAAAAAACAAATAAAATTCGCGCGTCATCCAAAAAAAAAAGGGGGGGGAGAGTGTGCCGAGCGAGGGTGCAGTGGCCAAAGTTTCACAGGACGGGGCCCGCAATATAATTTTCGAACCGGAACTTTTAATTGAGTTGGCCGAAGTTAGTCGCGGCCACCGACGACGACGACGACGACGACGTGCGAACATCGCCCGGCACGCTATCTATTATAATTTTTATTATTATTGTTATTATTATTATTATCATCATCTTTTTACCGTTGACGTCCCGGCAATCCGCTTGGTCGTAGTAATACTTTTTTTATTTTTTCTACGGTAAATAAGACCAGCGACGTAATTAAAACCGAGCCGGACGGAGTCGGGAAACGGCGGCGAAGATCCAATCCAGAGAACCGTCTTCGGTGATTTCGCGCATTTGCGATTCTATTTCCGATGAGCCCCTTCACTTCAGGTCTAGTATTATATATTGCACCCACTATTTATAGCTGATCTGGCCGCCAGACGTGGTGTTTAGGGGCCATGCCCTCTCCTAAACATCAAAACTACCTATAAATAATAATTTCTTTCGGGAATCTGTATTGAAGTTCACAGTGTGAATAAATTATAATCACGGTCTCTGTACCTACATAGTTGTGCCATCACATTAAACGGTCAAAGGTCATAATGACTGACTGACGTCTGGTCACGTTAGTTGAAAGTACAATTTTAGAACCAAAAGGATATTACCCCCCGCCCCCCTTAGAAGACGAATCGAATTCACCACTACTAGCCGCTCGCCACCGTCCATTGAAATCGTACGAGTTGTGTTATCCGTTTCCATGTCGCGTACGCGGACCGGACCGGACCGAAAATCACTCCGATACACTGAACCGGAAAAAAAAAAACCAACCGTTAATTTCAGTAACCGCCGAATCGTTAAATCGCTGTGAAATAGAAAATACCGGACCGGACGGTAATACAGAACGCTACGGTATAATATCACAAAAGAAGAAGGTCTGCAGTACAATAGCTTTTGCGAGAGGAGAATTTTCGCCGAGAACGGAGCGCGGGTCCTAAAAACGTATATAGGTATAATAATATGATATAGGAGAAAAAACGGATACCACGAGACTTATTGAAAATGTCAAGTCGCCACGGCCGTGGCAAACCAATCGAAAGATTGATAACTATAATGCTACAGAAAGAAAGAAAAAAAAAAGAAAGAAGAAAAGACGGTGTACGGGGTTTCGATCGGTTATATTGTAAAAAAAAGCTTCTATCGCCACGTGAAAAAAAAAACACACACACACACACACGCACACGTAATATTATAGCCCCGGACTTACGGTCTTTGGCCGAGATTATCCCCACCTACTTAGCGTCGTAGGCGTGTGTGTTCCGGTAGATATCGTTCGATAACCGTAAAAAAAAAAATAAAAAAAAAAAAAAACACGGCGGTTTATATACGGTATAACGCGCCCAGTAATATCCTCTTTTGCATAATAATATTACCGGTTGTTGTTGTTTTTTTATTTTTTTATCTTATCGTAATAATATAAGTATATTTTTACTGTAGCGGGTCGGGTTGTGATAATAATATGATATACTTACGTTATAACAGTATCGTTAAACGGTCTAAAACGAGAAAATGGACAAAAGCACCGTGAAGGGGGGGGGGGGGAGGGGGAAGGAAAAAAAAAGGATGAAGCCGATACTGCTAATGGGCGTGCCACCGCAGTGATGTAAATGTCGAAAAGGCATGGGATATCGTTTATACGCGGAGCGATTACGTCTGTATTGTTATCCGCGCCCGACGACGAATCCTCGATGACGAAAACCGATTCTGAGCGACTTTCGTTCGACATTGATTCGAATCGCTAGTAATTTTTATTCGAAATTTCGAAAGTGTTATCGAACAAAGTGCCGATTAATTCGTTAGTTTTTCGAGATGAAAACAACGCTTTAAACCGGCGGGGGGAGGGGGGGGGGGGTTGTTTTTACCCGCGTTCTACTGTGAAAAACGCGCATGCCGGCCGGTAGCCTTTCCGACGACAAACTCAGTTTTAATGAATTTATTATAAAAAAAAAAAAAAATTCGAAACATTATTTACTCGGTATATGGACGACGTGCAGTATTAGCGAACTAATATCGAATTATTTTCCCTATAAAAATGTATTATAGTTGTGGCCGTAACGATTTCCGAAATTGCATTGCCTATCTTTCGCCAATCATCGTAAAGGGTTTTTATTTTTTTAAGAGTTTAGTCGATAGTGGTTCCGTTACAACGGGGATAACGGGGGATTAAGGGCTCGTTTTGACGATTCTAAACCGCGTCATAAGCCGCGGTAACGGTACCGTTTATAAACTCGTCGGGGTCCTTCGAACGGGGAGACAGCAAGAATGAGGGAGATAAATATCGTATTCCCGATTACCTCATTTCTCTTAGTTTTCTTAGATTCTGAGTGTAGCGAAGAATGTATTGGTTGTACAAAAATTCGACCATAAATCTTGCTCAGATATATACGCGCGGCACCATTTCCGAAACGGAATTTTGTCCAAATGACACTTTTAGCAGGTCAGCTTTTGATTTTCCAAGCTGTTTTCATCTGGGACAAACCAAGATAAAAGGTAAGATGAACAGGAAATGTACAAAATGTATGCTTTTATTTTTTTATCAATTTTGTTATTTATTGTAATTCAGTTAAAAATATCCGTAGAGACTTGAAATTCGAACAGAAAACTAATATATGCCTTTTCTAGACGTGGTAAAATTAAAAAAAAAATTAAGCCATTTCGAACTTTTTATAGACATTTAAATTTTGCGTGATTCGTACGTAATTTTTTATTCGGTAGGTATTAGAAATTTATAAAATAAAAAATGTATAACTTTTAACGGATCTGGCAACGATGAAAAAAGGGTGGAGGGCTTAGAACTTACGGGGTTTAGTTAAAACAGAAATCGAGGACGACCGGCATTGTCTTGAACATTTAAATAGCGAATAAAATACTGCGCACCATACCCGTGAATATCCGGGGGGTCGTCTTTCGGCCCCCATCGCGAGCCCCCTTCCCCCCCGTCGTAAAACGCTCCCGCCGCGATACGTCCCAATGTCCACGGTCGTCAAATCGTGAGTTTTGTTCGCGAAACCCCGCGGTCGAACGGTCGTTGGTATCGATTCGCCGTCGAACGCCTTCACGCGCGCGTGTGTGGCGGGGTGTATTATAATTTCGCATTTCATTTTTATTTTTTTTTTTTATTTTCCTAACGCACGTTCCGCGTACGAGTCACGTATCGCCGGAATATTAAAAAAATAGAAAATAATACCCGCCTATATAGTACTTTATGTGCGCGTGCATAATATCGGTGCGGCGAAAAAGGTTGAACGTTTTGTCGTAACGTTTTATTATCGCCGTTCGGGAAAAGCTGCCGCTCTAATGTTATCGTTGTTACACGCGCCCTGTCCGTCCAGGTACGTTTACCCGTATACCGTGTGCACGACTACTCGGGAAACGGTCGCGCGTGCGTTCGAATTTGCTAAAAAAAAAAAAACACGGTCCCGAAATTTCCCGCAGAATTTCGCAATAAATACGCGCGATATTATAACGCAATATTTCTTTATTTTTTCCTTGATAAATGATAAAATACGATATTACGACATTATTATACCACGACGGGTACCTACGACGGACACAATGTACCGGCGGTCACGCGACCGCTGGACCTGAAAAAAAACGTATTCGAGGCGGACCGGTGTCCTGCCCCCCTCCGGCCCGACCGCCGCGGACCAGCAAACGGTTAAAATTAAAACTCGCGCCCGGTCGATTTATCAATATTTATTGGCTTTTTTTTTTTTTGTCGTCAATTCGGCCCGCGGCCGGCGTCACGCCGTCCTTACCGGTCCGTTTGCTGGGCTCTGATAGCTCATCACAGCAATAATATTTGTCCCGGACAATTCAATCCAGCCGTTGAAAACCTGGTATCGTATCGAAAGAGCGCACGCGGAGTAAAATGTTCGCCGTTTTCAGAAATATAAAGACAATCGTCCGTTCGCACGAGGTTCACAACGACAAAGTGCTTGAAATATAGCATAGCGTACAATATAGCGTTTTAATTATTTTGTTTTGGAACCGATCGATCGTACACGACGTGGTGGGGGGGGGAGTCGAGAGCGGTTTTAGAAATTAAAAAACGGAGAGGGGTTAGACCGTAAAATTAGTCGAAATAAAAGTGAAAAATACCTGGCGTTATCTTAAAATTTAACGTGGATTGAAATTTTTCTTTCTCTAAACTACTACCCATACGAAATTTTAATTCCGTTCGGTCTATATGAACTATACGAATTGTATGTTTTGCGCGATGTTCTATCAAATACTATTAGCTACTACACGACGTTTTCCGGTTTCAAACTCTGTATTTACACGAATCGCTATAATTGCAGAAAATGCACACGTTCGATTATCCAATGGAATTTAGTTATTACCGCGTTTGTATTTATTCATCTCGAACACGTAGTTTATATTAAAACGGCGCAACGGGCGCGTGGCTGCCTCCGTCCTCATTATGCTTGGACGTCTTTCGTGTTATTCGTTCGTGTTCTTTTATTTTTTCTCCGACGTTTTCTGGAGACGTTGAGATTCCGTCCACCCCGGACAAGCGTACGAAAAGCGCAAATTCTTGCGTTTGGCGAGTTTCACTTTTCCTCGGTTTCGTAAACAATAGTCCGGTCCGGTTATCGGCGCGTCTTATTCGATTCCCCGTTTCCGAATAACCGGTTTCGCGTCCGTTGACAGAGCGTAAGTCGTATACTCGACGGGACGGCGGATCGGACGACCGTCGCGGTAATGCCGAAACCGACGGCCGATCATTCTCGGCGGTACACTTACGGCGGCTTCGCGCGCCGGCAACGTTCGGCGGATCGCGCGGACGAGAAAACGTTCTGGCGGCGAAAGATCCGAGTAGGCGTTCGGTCCGCGCGCGCGTTATTACGGTCCGGCCGCGAATCGCCCGGTGAACGCGCGACCCGCGCCGTTTATTTGACCGGCCAGGATGCGGGTGTCCGCTCGGTCCGGCTTTCGCGCCGTCCACGGGGCACAGTCTTGGGGGAAAAACGCGACCGGGCGTAGTCGCGCGCGGCCGGAGGACGCCGCCGGACTTTCTCGGATCGATGACACCGACGGCGAGAGGGGGTTGGGGGAGGGGTAGTGGGTTTTTTTCGCAAGCGCGTTAGGCCGTGTTGCGTTTCGCGGCGTAGAAACGAAACGAAAACGGGGGGAAAAAAAAAAAGCCGACACCGGCCCGGCTAAACGTTTCGGGGCCGGACCCGGGGACGCGGTCCGCGAAACGCGCGCGTCCCGCCGACCTTTTGTCGCATGTGCCCGGTCCCCGCGCCCCCCGCCGCCGCTCGGGAAATACCGCGTCCCCGGGACCGCACGTGAACGTCCGTATCGCGCCGTCTCATCTGCGCCCGAGACCGCGAGCGGTCCGCCGGGTTTCGTTTCGCTCCCGTCTCGCGGCACACGTGCGCGCGCGTTATCGCATCTATGCACACGATGTCACGTGTCGTCCCGTCCGTCCGATACCGTAACGGACGAAAAAGCTGCTCGCGCCGTTTTTTTTTTTTATGTTTTTTTGTTTTTTTTTTATTTTATTTTTATCATCGTCGTTATCCGTTGCCCGTTGCCCGAAAGCGACGGGCAACGACGAGACGACGGCGCGCGCCGGACCCGACCTCCCGCGCGCGTTGCGACGCGGACGTGTCGCGACGTTACAGAGCCGTCCTCGCGTGACACCGTTCGCGCGCGGGACGTGCAAACGCGACGTAGGAGACTGTCCGAGGATCTCCGTTTTCTCCACACACACCGCCTCACCCCCGCGCCTTTATACCTAACCTGCCCTACGATGTTAAACTGTCGACATTACAACGCCGTGGCAATATCGCCGTGAACGCGTTACGGCGTACGCAAAAGGCGACTCACGCTCCCCTGCCCCCCCCCCCCCCGGTAAACGACCGAAGGCCGATTAGTGGCGCGATGCGCGTATTGAAATACCGCACGTTTTCGCGTTCGTAATATTGTTTTATACGAGACTAAACATAATTCAATCTTATTACGGCGACGTGGCGGGGGGGGGAGGGAGGGCATGGCGTAGTAAAATTAGTAATATCGACGTGTAGTGTATTTCGTTGGCCGCTCGCTAAACAACGAAATAAAAAAAAAAAAAATTAATAGCGATTCGAACGCGAATCGTGTCACCGTAGCGGCGATGAATTAACGACTTATTTTACGGGCAGATCAATTGCGGATGATCCGCAAGACATTAAATTTTAACGTGTTCAAATACGTTTGTTTGTATCTTTTATTTTAACATTACCACATTATGGCAAAACCCGTCCGGAGGTTTTCATTTGTAAGCATTAGTTCCTACCGTAGGAGTAAACGCGGCAATCTATAAGGGAAAATCGATTAAAAAATATATGCCACACATTAATACCCGACATTGTCGAATGGTAAACAAGATGATAAACCTGCCTACAATTCATATTTATCCCAACCGATCAAACACAAATAGGCGGAAAGTCGGGAACGCATAATACGATCCGTCCTAAATACAGAATCACCGAACCAAAAAATTTTGAAAAAATCGTTGTGTTTGTCTTGCTTACGCGTATACATTAAATGTCCCGTACTAGTGGACTGTACCCGTCCTCATTTTATATATTTATTACGCATTTATGCCGGCCGATGAAGGTTCTCAAACGACCGTTTATTAAACAGGATTGTTCGAAAGAGGTTCGAGGCGGATCAGCGCGGACGAGTTTGATAGCGTTTGTACAGTGTCGCTCTTGTAACTACGGTCCTGGAAAATATCAATCGCCACCAGTTATTTTACAAGGTCTCAGCTGTTATTTATTTATTTCTTTAGGATTGAAAACGTATGCTCAGAATCGTTTTCTCGTAATCAATGGTTTATCGTTGCTTATAGGTATGTGTTAAGTTATCAATAGCAGTGGCCGCATCCGTACTCATTATCCTAGGTAGGATTTATAATCGGGTCTTAATAATAATCAATAATTTCGCGTACGGTAAATAATTAACACTTTCATATTGTCTTAAATTCCGAACATTTTGAAAAATAGAACTTTTCATCGACTGCTTTTTTCTCTTACATTTTGACTAGAATTCGGGATGTTATTGGTTTTATACTGATGTGTGTGTGATTTTTTTTTTTTCCTTTTAACTTTTATACGTTTAGCACATAAATCAAAAGTCCCGAATCTAAGCACCGCGTGAACATTCTATTAGAATTCTTTTTTAACAAAATATATACGCTGTTGTACACGGAGGTAAAGTGAACGCACGCGTTCTTATCAATTTTGACTGAAAATAAAACGATTCATCTCGAATGTTTGAGTTTTCCAAACGTTTTGTTTTCGTATTACCGCGGTGAAGTCAACCGTAACGAGAGAGAGAGCAACTCTTGAGCTCGGTGAAATGTAAATTGAAAAACTTTTTCAATAATCAACCGTTTTAATAATATTTCTCTATTCCGCGTGAAACGACTGGCGCGCGGACGTTTGTACGACAAACACACACGTGGAAGTTGTTGCAACACTATTATGTATGGCATCAAGATCTCGTGTATCAGTTCCAAATAACTCACTATAGGTTCTGTTATCGTAAAATTTAAAAAAAAAAAAAAAAAAAAATCATCGCACTATCGTTTTCTACCGCCTCCGATCCGGACGAAGTTGGAGACATTAAATATCGATCCCAAATTGTTTACGATTTCACTACGGGACACATTACCATCATGATCAAACCACGGATCCCTTTTTTCAATCACATTTCAATAATACTTTCAAGGCAAACCTGTGTTGACATCGAGCCGAGTAAAAAGCATTTTAATACTTTCGATTCTGAGCGCGGCGATGAATGTTTTGGTGTTACTGTGTTTTTTTTTTTTCTGTGTATACTTTTTTACCGGAAATTCTGCTCCGATCAAAAAAAACGGTAAGCGACAAGTTGTAACTATCTTTTTAGATCTAGTCATTGGTAAGGTTTTTTTTTTTTGATTTTCAATTATACTTAGGAAAAATGTATAAAATACGTACCTACAAATATTCACCTACGGTATTAACAATTTCATTAATTAGTTTTGGATTCCGAGCGTTGTAAGGGAGCTATTAATTTCAAAATACTGTGTATTTTACTTTTTCTTTGTACTAGTCTGTGACGTTTTTTTCCTAGTAAACTTTCTCTGATATTTACGTGCAGCACCTTTTCTGAAAGCTCAAATTCTTTAGATTGTATCTAACATAAGGTATTTTAAGGAATTTTAATTTTTGGAAGTTTTTTTGCTGTAAATAGGGTATAAATACACACAGAGACTAGAAACTTAGTAATAATACTTATATTGGACTTATCTAGACGTGGTCAAATTTCCAAAATCATTGGACAAATTTTTCCTTTTTTTTTTTTAAGTATTTTGAAATCAAATTTAAACGAACGTCGCAAAAAAAAAAAAAAATACGGCATTTCAAATTATTTATTACCAAACTGTATTTTATAAATTGTCTTTCTTCAAGCAATAATTTATCGTTGCTTAGAGATATAATTGAAATAATCTTATCTATCCTACTTTCCCAACTTTTCACCTACGACAATGGCCGTTCCCATCCCCGGCATCATCTCTTTTTTTTTCCCCCAGAAATCTCCCTTCGTATTTAAGAGTATCATATTTTCTATGGAAATAATCTACCACTGTATGTAGAAAGTTTAAATGGTATAGGAAATATGATTGGTAATTTAGTTTATATGCTGAACTCAATGATAAATAATTACAATCAAAAATTGATTTTTAGTGGAGCCGGTTTGTAAATGTTGTTATTATTGCATACAACAATTGTTTTCTCTGATAATAAAATGGAACATCTTCAAATAACACTTGCAAGTTATACTGACATTCGGAACTAAAATCGTATTCCCAAACAAGAACAAATGGTTTCATAATTTATTATCGGTGCTGTACCCGGGGAGTTGATTCGCATGTACCCATAGTTAATAATATTATGTAGGTACAGTTTACACATCATAATATGTGTAAACCTGCATTGTACAATACTTGTTTTGAAATGTTTATTTACAAAATAGTTTGTATTAATTTTTCGTTATTTAATTAATCAATATAACCTCGATAACCACTTTATGCAATATTTATTTGTTGTGGTTATAAAAGGTAAGGTAAACAAGTTCATCTTTTCTACTAATAAAACGCAATCATTTATTAAGAATTTTTGAGAAAACGGTACTTTTCATTCGTTCAGTTTCGCTTGTAGGTTTCTCATGTGAAACTGTATCCATTAGAAACTTGTAATGGAACAGTTTCTTTAGAAACAACATTTATACGAGCTTCATCATAAAGCACACGGAGATTAATTGAATACATTAATGAGTATTGAATAGTTATGTCTCCTGAAATGTACGTGTCACGCACGATGGGTGGATTGCCATTAAAGTTTAATTCGATTTTACAAAGCTAAAAATTATTATGGTTTGAAAAAAATAAAGGAGGGTTCGACTTTCAGTACATCGTGCCATTACAAAATATATTTACGCTAATTGCCATCGCGTTATGTCTTAAACATGTCTAAATTACAATTACTTATTCCAAGGTCGGTACGTATTTAAATATCGATTGAAACGATTTGCAAGAAATGGCGCATTTTTATAAAGATATTCTACCACGTAATGAAACATTTGACGTAAAAGTCAAAAGATGGGTAGCTAAATGGACAAATTTACTAGAGAAAGATCGCACAACAACATTACTACAACATTGAATTTTTTATCTGAAATGTCTAGTGATTTTTTAAAAATGTTAGCCATATTCCCTGTTACAACTACCACAGCTGAACGAACGTTCACAACATTACGTAGGCTAAAAACATATTTACGGCACAATATGGGACAGATTAGACTTACTGGATTGGCTCTGGTAAACATTTACCGAAATTAAAAATCGACAAGGTTATAAACGAACTTGCTAGATTAACAAAAAAGTGCAGTTTTATACTTTAGTACATTACTGTTAGGTTATATTTATTTAATATACTATTTCTAACCTAACTCTTATGATTCATTTTTGGACTTTTTTTTTAATTTATTTAAATTAATTTCAAGTGCAAGTAATAATATATATATTTTATTTGATTCTGTGTGAAGCAAGGAATTTATTGGTTTTGAAATAATGTTTTTTTTATAATTTTTTTTCATAGATAACTTTACTACCATACATTTTACTTCGATTTACAATGATAGCACTTTTGTCCAGGAGTTTCCCTATAAACACATAATATCGAACCGGGAAAAACGTAGGAAAAAATGGGAAAATAGGTACAATATTAAATAAATATTATCAAAGACAAATTATAATTCATATGTAATTATTTCAAAATTATACGTCATTTAACTCCACTCTGAATCGTTTTTTCGTTAACAATGTTTAATCGTTGCCTACGGGTATACATTTAATTCGCGTCCATATCCTACATTCCCTACTTATCACCCACAACGGTGGTCACACCCGTCAGTATTATCCTAGGACAGCATTTTCAAAATATATCTACATTATTTTGTCTATAATAGAGAGATATTTTTAACTGTAGTTAAAAAAGATAAGAGAAATTCGGATTGTAACCTGTAGATATAATATTATGTAGTGTTATAACTTATAGAGTCATCAATCAATACTGTACAAAGAAAGGCGATTTATTGGTTATAATGTTATGCGTAATATCGATTATTGTCAGTTTTTTATGAACCCCCGAAATTTGGTTCGGTGTACGTGCCTGGCTATAAGTAAGCACCTTTTTATAAATACACGAGTATTTATGTGTGTATTTAGGTATAAATCGCACGTGTTAAAAACACGATTTTCGAAATAGATACTTCATACACGAGTACACATTTTCCACATACACGCGTTTTTATAATTCTCTTCATATATTATTCCAATACCATTCTTCACAACTTCGACAATATATTCTATACATTTGTATAACAAACTCGGTAGGTACTATCTTTTCAATAGATGTTATCTGTGACAGAACTTTTGGTGTAAACACTACCAATGTAGCTGTGCATACAGTTCTTCATCTTTTAAGTACATAATACAAATTGAGAACATGTTATTGTACCAAAATAGATATTTAGTAATCGAGATTCGACGAACGCTTACTAAGAGTGGAAAAATTAAAAAATTGTTCGTCGTGTTTTTTTAACTTTATATTTTAGATTCTGAATGTAGCGAAGATATATTTTTCTTTTTATTATACCGTGTACAAAAAATCTACCAGAAATCTTACTCGGATATTTACGCGTGGCACTATTTCTGAAAAGGAATATTGTCCAGATGGTAATTTACGAGGTTTTATTTTTTTGATTTTTCATGTGATTTTCATAATATTTGAGAAAAACCAGGATAATCGTAAGAAAAACAGGAAATTCATGAAAATAATGCTTTTATTATATTTAAATTATGTTATTTGTTGTAATTCGGATAAAAAAATTCGTATCGACCCTATGGCCTTAAAATTTTGACAGAACATTGTTATTTACCCTTTAGACGTGGTAAAATTTTCAAAAAATTTACACCATTTTTGAGCTATTTATAGTTTTTTTAACTATGCAAGTTTTTTACATAATTTTTATTCGATAGGTACTCTGTGGTAAAATACTAGAACTAACCGGAAATGCTTGGATATTTAACAAGAGGTTCATTAAGAGTCCCAATTTTGGTCAAAAAGAGAAATTTGAGTTTAATGTGGTAGTGGTTTTTTTTTCCTTTTTTGAGCATATGTACACAGCCGACTTAAAAACGACGGTGAAGTCAGAATAGAACGAACTAAATTTTAAAATTATAGCTTTTTGAAAACCAGATATTATGCAGGTATTATAATATATGTTAAATGAGTATATATTGACTTGGATGAATGGTTATTCGGCTACCGCAAACATACTTTAAATACATACTTATTTTCATCCTATGCTTTACAAGTTCACATTTTTTTTCCCTTTTAACCTAAATCAAACAAGGAAAACACAAATGCATTTTGGGTGTGCCTAGGGACACAAGACTTCGCCCGCTCGGACTATTTTAATCGCAATATACCCTTCGATTTGTTGTGCAAACTTTTGTACCGAAAATCTTGCTAAGATGTATCAAGTTTTGCTTATTTTCTGAAAGGAAATTTTATCACCATGGTAACTTGGGAAAGTCGTCTTTCGATTTTCCCAGGAGTTTTCCCAAAATTGGAAAATTCGTGAAAAACAGATAAAAAAGGAAAAATGTATAAAATACATTAGTGAAATATTACCATTTTTTTTTTCCGTATACAACTTTTCTACCAGCAATTTAATCCGATTTACAATACGAGCACTTTTCCAAAAAGAAAATCTGACTGGGGAGGTATTTTTGAGATGTCATTTTTCGATTTTCCAAAGAGTTTTGCCAGAAAATGCGAAAAACCAGGAAAAAACTTGTGAGAAACGGGAAAAACGGGAAATTCGGTGCAATATCATTAAACAAATTTCACTGAAGAAAATATATAACGCCTATTTAATTATTTTACCATAATATGACATGTATAAATATAGTTTAAAAAGCATCACCGTCGACTGAACTCCGCTCAGAATCGTTTTTTCGTTATCAATGGTTTATCGTTGCTTACGCAGATACACATTAAATCACCAATAACGGTCATTGCACCCGACCCGGGACGTATTTTTTGAAAAACCGTTATTCATGTCTGGACGACAAATATGCCGTCATTTTTAACTTGGATGCCGAGAGTAAATAATTTGTCCCGGGTTCGCGCGAAAACCCGTTGGGTCTAACAACAAAAACATCACGGCCGTTGCAATAGCGGTTTAAAACTTCTATAGATGCACGGATAAAGAAGATAACATTGTGAATCCAATACCCCCGGCATTAATATTATTCGGCATTTCTCTATGATTTATTATTATTATTATTATTGTTATTTGAATAAAACAGGTAAGGCCTGCGACTACTGAATGTTCATTAAATAACGACAACCGGACAATACCGTTTACGCATCCGATCGGTGTTCAATAATGCGCTGACAACGTTAAAGGTATTACACAGTTTAAGCCGCGTACAAATATTTGATATATACGGGTGACACGGTCTTAATGTTTTTATCGTCATTTTGTTCGGCGATCATCACGTGCCAAACACGACCGCGTTACACACTTGTGTGGCCCATAAAAAGGCGATAAGGTATGCAATTTTTACGTAGTATTATTATTTTCGCTATTACGATAATTATTTTTTTTTTTTTTTTTTTTTAAAATTCAACTTTTAACAGTTTCATAGAACCGAATTATTTACTACGCGTATTCAACGGTAAAAACTGTTTTGCGTGGGAAAACACTGCCCGGGTTGGAAACTTAATCGACGAATCGAATTTTCACCATAGATATGGAAAAAGTTACACTAACGTGGCACGGTGCGTGCTCTCTTAATTTTATGGTTGAAATTTCGTTTCGTAACTAAATAAAGTAGTTTTCGCCGCCGCGAAATAATCGTAATGATTTTACGATTTCACAGTAAATACCGATAACGATGCCGTGATTATTTCAAATTAAGAATTAAAAAAAAAAAAAAATAATAACTTAGACCGGAGTACGCTTAAATAGGAATGAGTTACATTTTCACACAAGGAACAGTAACGATGTTACGATGCAGGAACGATTTAGAACTAATCTCTTTTTGAAAGGAACGCGGCCAAAACCGAACGGGTTATTTTTTTTTTCCCGTTCATCGGTATGTGAATACAAGTTAGTATAAATATTCGAAAATTTGATAAAATGTTCAGTTGCTGTTGTAAAAAAAAAATACGTCTAGTTGAACGCAGTTGGTTTTTTAAAGCGTTTAAACGCTAGATGGGTATGGGTATAGACATTAATATTGTAAATGTATATTATAATAGTATACGATAAATTACGTTTTTTTTTTTTTTTTTTTTTAAAGTATTGTAATATTATTATAAAATATTAACTTATTAAAGGTTGAATAAATATTAAGTACCTACTATAGCAGTGTTTCCCAAGTTTTTTCACTCTTTGCTCCCTTGAAATTATTCGAAAATGTCATGCCTCCCGCCATTAATTAAAAATATAAGATAAATTGTTTTTAATTTTAGATACGGGGTAAATCCGCACATTTTTTTTATTTCATTCTATCAACATTAGGTGTGCCTATCACGCAGTGGGCAGTTGCAGTGGCATATTTACGGGGAGGTGGCGAGGATGATTAAAAGATATAAATCGCCCCCTTTGGCATTTGTTTTCATAGGTAGCTATTATTTATGCGTATACCTATTTTTGAAATTCGAATATTTCTTACTATTTAGACAAAAAATTCAAAAATGTATGCAATCACCATGCAAATAAATAATAATCAAAAAAAAAAAAAACTTGAACAACAGCAGGTACCCTGGTACCCATGTTTCCCTGTTACAAAAAACGGAACCTGTCCGATCGACGAGCTATCAGTTCAGTTTCCCGTGGATCCGAAAACCGTATGGAAAACGGTGCGTAATCTTTCTTGGCGTACTCTCGCGGCTTTTCGCTCGGGGCGCGTATAAATTCGATATTTGTTCGTTTTTATTGCGTATTACCGAGACCCTCTTCGTGACCATCATAACTGACAATGTAAATATAATCACGTTAATCGCCAAAGCACACGTCGTGCTTGTCATATTTACTATCAATAATTGTTCATTTTGGATCTTTTTATTTTTCCGATTTTCCGCAGACCCTTGGAAAAAAAAACCGTTTTTTTTTTTTTTTTTTTGTTTCGGCGAAACTTTTCCAAATTTCGAACGCCGGTCTGCGACGCGCGTTTCGAGTTTTTCGGCTTCGCCTACTCCAACGGCTAATCCGATGGATGATAGAATATTGCCCGTCGATCGACGCCGTCTCGGAAACATTTGAACAATCAAATGTGCGCGTGCCGAAAAAGGCGACGGATAATAACGGTACTGTTACGCAACGGTTAAGACGGCTGTAACGTATTCGTTTCTTGAGAAGAGAATAAAAACTTAATACGTTCGTTCCGAGACACCACAGCGATCTCCGCCGGAACGACCCGCCTCGCCCCCCCCCCAACGATCCCCTCTCCGCCGCCGCCGCCGTTAGATCGCTCGGTTCGGCCGGCTAAATAATAATAATTTTCGACGGCCGCGGGCCCGTGACCGCCCAGGCGTACCGGAATTCCGGAGTCCGAATAATATCCGACGCACAAAGTCCGGGCCGCTGGAAAAGGAATTCGGCCGCCGACCGCCGGGCTCAGCGTTACGCCGCGGTCACGACGCGGAGGAGAAAATATACGGACGACGCCGCCGACGGAACCCGCGCGACCGACGCGACCGAAGGGTCCGCCGCCGCCGCCGCTGGCCGTACACCGAGGATTACGTGCGGACCCGTTTTCTCTCGGTTTCCCGGAAAATTCCCCCGATAACGATAATAATTACGCTGCGGCCCCGGACGCGGTTGGGGCCGCGACATTCGACCGCGGCGTCCGCGCGGTACAAAACCGGCGGCCAAACGGCCGTCGAAATAAAAACGGCCGTCGTCGTGACGCGAACCGTTTGACGGCGTCGCGTGCACCGCCGGCCGCGTTTCGCCCCGCGGCGCTCCGTTTATCGTTTTAGATCCGCAGCGCGTCGCCGGTTGGCCTCGCGATGACGTGCATACGTTTTTCGCATTATATTTTCGCCGCTCAGAATCGTTTACGGTCGGCAACGGTTTGTCGTCGCGTACGGACGTTACGCGTCACGTTTTCCCTGACGTCGCGACTCCTCACCAACGACACGGGCCCTGCCGATCGCGCGAAATATATTCCTTTTTTTTTATGCACATACACAGAGTATATAGCGCGGTAAGTTACCGCGCGGGATATTGAAAAAAATATAATGGTGGGGGGGGGGTTTGTTAGAAGAAGCGCCCGCGGATGTCGTACACGCAAGTGGGTACGCGCGAAAAACCCTCGGCGCGTGGCGCTCGATTATCCCGGTTTTTTTATTTTCGTTTCCGTACGGTTTCCACGGACAAACGCGGAACCGTTGCGTATTATCTCGTCGGTACCGTTGCCCGCTTTTGATTTACCAGACAGCGACCGACGTGCCGTACGACAATACGTATATTAAAAATTCCGCAAATAGACGACGTTTTTGTCGGAACGCATTTCGGCGCCGAAATGTTTAATTACGCGGCGCGTGGCGCATGAATAATTTTCCGAAATGTATATTATTATCCGCGCTGTTGACTCACTCCGTATATTCGCGGAATTTTAAGTACGGGCGGTTATTCGAAAATCAAAAGCCGGTTTCGGTTTCGCCGCACACCTTTCCCCCTCCCACCCCCGAAAAGGCCGGCGACGAAAGAGACGCGTAACATTTCATAACGGCCCGTTTCGTAAATTGATAAAAATAAAAAAAAATAAAAAAATAATGATAATAATTAAGTAATAAAGTCGACAACAACGTATAAAAAATAGGACACGGCTAGCGCGAAACGGCTAGAATCGAATTTATTCCGTTTTTCGTATTATTGAATATTATCACGGTTCGGGCGTGGATTTAAAACGCCCTCTCAAAAACGAGCGAAATTCCTCAAAAAAAAACTTTAAAAATTAATTTAAACGTCGAAAAACCGTTTTTTTTTTTTTTTTTTTTATTAGGTTTATAAATGTACCAAACGCAATAACGCAAATCGCATTTATCCGGTAGGTACGATCGATAAACCTATACGCCTAATACGTTTATAAACGGAAATATGAATTTTGTTTTTCTTTCGGGAAGATATTGAAATACATTTTATCGAATTTTCCGATGGCGCTATGTGCGGAGTTTGTATTGAGTAGAAAAAACGCACTAGAAATGTCACTGAGAGCGCTTCGAAGTCGAGAAAAAGTTCTGGAAATGCGAACCGACAGTCGCGCGTTTTAATCGTTTCGACGTGCCGAACGGACTCCGTGTGCGCGGCAAGCGTCGCGGCTTTCTCGGCGGAAAAACGGAAAAAACGCAATTCGCATTGCGATCCGCGCCCCGCGTAATCACGGGGCGCACGCACAATGTAATCACAAAGTCAAAGAACGCGATTTCGGGACGTCGTACCGCGGCGAAAACCGGGTCCCGATAACCGGGGATCCCGGGCCCGGGACCCCCGATAACCTGTGACCCGGGCGCGGCGCCGCGGGGCCCCCGATCGTAATGACGTTACTGTCGTGACGTATCGGGAAATACGCGCCGCCGTCGTCGCCGCGCATACTCGCGCGTGCACAATATAAAACGATAATGAAATTGCGAACTATCGCGGAGATTATCGCGCATTGTTTCGCGAAACGACGTAATTAAAAAGGTAAAATGTCATCGGGCGAGGCCGCGCGATGACATTATAATACCCGCGGCGCGCGTACCGTCGTCGCCGTCCGATCGAAGGTTAAATTAAACAAAAAAAAAAAAACAAAAAAAATAAAAAAAACGAAAACCCTCGACGGAAAAACAAAATAATAATAACGACGAATCCCCCTAAACGTCGCAGCGTCGTCGGAATCGTTTCGACTCTGCGGGCGCCGTTCGCGCGAATTCCCAAATGCGCGTTCGGGTCCCTGGGCCGCGAGGCCGACGCGGACGCGCGGCGATTCGCGTACAACGGAAAACTCGCGTCGCATTGTAATATTGTCGAAGGCGGTTATTGTTTTTTTATTTTTTTTTTTTTAATCCCGTCTGCCACGGTCGCGAATTTTTCTACCGGTTCCAATACATCCAGAGTCGTGCGTATCGGCGGGTAAAACGGGAAAAAAACGTGCACGGAATGCGTGTATAATTTTCGGACCGTGGAAACGTTACGCCCACCCCTTCGAAACGCGCGCGACCGAACCCGGCTCAGAATCGTCGTCCGTCGGTGAACACCGTCGCGCGCCACGTATGCGCGATCGATTCCGCCGCTCCGTTTGCGGATTTTCCGACCGCCGGTGTGCGTCCGTATATTTTTTTATTATTATTTTTTTTTTTTTCAATTATAAATTGTACCGTCGCTCGAATTCGATCGGCGGACGGGCCGCGCGATACCCGCGTGCGCGAAACTATCGCCGTACGCTACATTATTATTATTGCTGCGAGCGAAACACGTTTTCCGTTCCCGTCGGGTTTTTCGGCGTTACCTCGCCCGGAGCGGCCAACGGGCGACCGGGGGTGGAAAAAATAATAAAAGCGCCGGATCGCGAATCCGGCCGAGCGGGACGGCGGACCGTGTATAATGACAATGACGACGACAATACGATATTATTACAGTTTTGTCGGACAGGAAATTAAACCCGGGCCGTCCCGTCGCGCGTCGCACGGTCGCCGACGCCGCGCATTTCCTACGGGTCGACGCGCGGTAGTGAAACATAAACAACGGCGACGGACGGTAAACGGCGACCGGCGGGGACGGACGAGAAATCCGTTTTGACATTTGCCGGACGGCGGCGGCGGCGGCGGCGCGGGCGACAACACGGACCCCCCTCCCCGCCCCTCGGGGGCCGTGGACGTTGTGCGTTGCGCCCGCGCGACACGCGGCCGCGGCGAAAGTCGCCGGTGCGACGACGCGAGTGCCGACGACGCGAGTACGGACGCCCCGAAACGAACGCCGGATCTCGCGTGTCGCCCCGCGCTACGCGCTCGCAGGGGACGCGCGTACGGAAACGGACTCCGGACCGTGTAAATTGCGACCGCCCGATTCGAACGACGACACCCGGCCCGGGGGGACTTGGCGATTATTGATTGTTGGGATTTACGGGGTTTTTTTTTTTTTTTTATTTTCTGTTTACCCGTACACAACTGTTCCGCCAGAAGACTGGCTCGAATTTCCGCGCTCAGCGCCGTTTCTGAATGGAGTTCGGCGATTAGAGGTACCACCTTGAGGAGGTTCGATTTTCGATTTTCTCGAGAGCTTTCCCAGCGAATGTGAAACACCAGGGTATGACACGGGAAAACCAACGCAACGTTAAACGAATATTGTCGAAGAATACATACAAAGCGTATTTTACAATAACACGATTTATAATTTATGGTTTATGGACGACACATCGCTATCGACTGAAAAAAAAAAAAAAAAAACAATGTCCTGATAACGGTTTGTTATCAGTTATTTTGAGTCGTTCTCGACGAACCGACCGTCGTCACGCGATTCCGTCCGGGGTCAGACGCGTTTAGAAATTCGGTCGAAATTTCCGATTGGAAAAGAAAAAAAGCGAAAAATAAGCCCGTAAAAAATCTACAGTAATGTATCGCGCTCGCCATTTTTTCTTCGACGCAACACGCCGTTACAATTATGTTTTCAGAAGTTTCCGCTCGGCCCGACGGATTCATCTGCACACTCTGCCGAATCGAAAAAATAAAAACCAGAAAACGTCCAAACGTCAATACGCAGTTAAAAAAAAAAGTTTACATGTTTCAAACGTTTGCACGAGTATATTAGGCGAAATTATCTGCGATCAATTTTTACCGGATTACGACGGACTAAAAAAATCGAAAATAACGATATTATACCGGCAAGCTTATCCGTTTTTCCTACCGATCAACCCGGAACTCTCCCGGTTATCGAGAAAACCACGAGGGAAACAAAATAAACGACCTCCAATCGTACGAATTGAAAACCGGTGGAAAAACTAAATCGACGACATTTCGTGTAAGGATAGATATGGTTAACGTTTTAAATTCGTCAGATTTTCTTAGAAGTTTTAGATTCTGAGTGTAACGAAGAACGTATTGGTTTTACTAAAATATTTATTTAATTTTTTTTTTCAATACTGTGTACAAAAATTCGGTACCATAAATCTTGCTCAAATGTATACGCGCGTCACTATCTCTCAAAGTGAATGTTGTCCAGATCAGAGGCGTACCCGAGATTTAGTTTTGGGGGTGATTTTAATTTTTTTTAACAATTTTATTAAGTTTACAACTACACCGTTGAAATAAGTAAATAAAAAACTGTACGAATGCATACGTGAAAAACCGTAATCTTTTTATATGTTACTGTTAAATAGTATAGATCAATTATTACGAGTTAACCTTATAAAGTAATAACTAAATAATAAAATTATCGCGTATGAAGTGCAAAAAAAAATAATAAAAAAACATTTTTAGAAACAAACAGTTTTACATATAATACTCTTCAAAGTTTATACTAGATACTCATCTACCGTGTATAAAAAAAAATATACTAATAATAATCAGTGTTAAAAAAAAAATTATAAAATTAAGTCCATCCCGTTTGAAGATAATGCAAATTTTGTAACTACTTTGTCTGGTTTACTAGTACGTCATTATGAAAAGCTACTCCTGTGAGTAGGTTTTCACCGGTAGTTAATTTCAAGTATGTTTTATGCTACGTAAATTTAAAAAAAAAAGTCGTTCTGCTGTCGCAGTCGATACTGGAAGTGTAATCAAGATTACCAAGCATTTTTTTTTTTATATTTGGACAAAATGTACCATCACACTTGTTTATTATTTTATTAAAAAATTAAGAAAGTGAAATCGGAGTGGTTCGAACCCAAAAAACTATACTCTGATCAAGTCCTGGTCCAGCTGGTACTTTCGGGAGGCCATTTTTTGATTTTCCAAGCGGGGAAAAAACAGGATAAACCGTAAGAAAAATGGGAAATGTACGAAATTAATGCTTTAATTATCTTATTAATTTTATTATTTGTTAAAATTCAGTCAGTTAAAATTATTCGTAAAGACTTGAAATTATGAACAGAAAACTTATATTTGCCCTCTCCAGACGTGGTAAAACTTTCAAAAAATTTAAGCAATTTTCGAACAATTCGAACATTTTAAATTTGCAAATTTTGTACGTAATTTTATTCGGTAGGTACTTTGTGGTAAAATTGTTAGACTTAACAGAAATGCTTGAAAATTTAACAGAATGTTCAATAGGATTCTAAATTTGTAGTTAAAAAAAAATAATATGAGTTTAATGTAGTATTTTTTTTTTTTTAGTGAATTTTTTGTTAAATTTTGACTAAAACCGTTTGGGTAAAAAATGTGAAGTAAATCAAATTTATTAATTTTTTTTTCTGTTTTAAACATATATATGTCGCCGATTTAAAAACGATGAAAAAGTCAGAATTAAGCGGACTTAGTTTCGAAATTATAGCTTTTTGAATTTCTGATATTATGAGGATATTATATTACGTTATGTCAAATCATCCTAGAGGTTGCGAGTTAAAACCAATGTTTCGTAAAAAAATTGCTTGAATTTTTTCCCCTTTTATCTAAACAAGGAAAAAAACAAATGCATTTTGGTACGCCTTGGGACACAAGCCATCGCTCGCTCGGACTATTTTAATCGCAAAACTGGTTGTGCAAACTTTTCTATCAGAAATTTCTTTCTAATTTAATATGATAACCCTTTTTCTAAAAGGAAATTCGACCGGGGAGTTACTATAAGAAGGTCGTTTTGCGATTTTCCCAAGTGTTTTCCCAGCAAAAGTGAAATACCGGGAAAAACGAAAAATCGGTAAAATATTACCGAGGCGCGACCGTCTCGACGAGAAATGAAATCGTGTCGTCCGACTGATTTCCGCGCGTCCGACACCGCGGGTCCGCGCTACAGAATCCGTATTACAAATCGTTGTAACATCGTTGCGTAAAATTTTTCCCCTCCCCTCCCCGCCAGGTTCCGGCGATTTTCTCGACGCCACCCGCCGTCATCGCAGCCGCCCCTCTTGCCGACCGTGTCACCGTCGTGTCCCGCGTCGCCACCGGATCCGGAAAGTATCGAGCGCCCTACGCGTTCAGTAGACACGACGTCAACACGGCGTCCGCGGGTATCTGTGACTCTCCGTTTGTCACGTGTCTCGCGCAATGTCCGCAACCACCCGGAGACGGCGTATAGCCGGTCGGGAGTAAGCGGGGGGGTGGCGTTTTCCCCCCCCCGGATTTTTGAACGAACGGTGGGGAATTTTGAAAAAAAAAAAAAAAAAAAATGTTCAAATTATAACACAAATATCCGCGCCGCGTCTTTTTTTGAGACGCAAAATAATTCGAATGAATTTAAATGCGCGTGTGCGTGCAATTCGATATTATTCTGACGCGTACGACGTTCGGGTCGTGTGTTTGTATCCCAATACTTGTTGCGTTTTATAGCATCCGGTCTTTTGAATTCAGTCATCGAAAATCTACGTGTCCGTGATGTAGTGTCGCGCACGAGAGATTGTACTGATTTTGACGGATTTTGTCCACGACCCCTCTTATCCGCTAATCGGAACTAACTTATTGTTGACAGAATACATTGCGATACGACTATTTCGGCTGTTTTATAATCACCGTAAACTCCGTGCTAATAGACGAGCCTTTCGTATTGTGCAGCGAAATTCGACGATATCACAAGTGCGCAAACCAATATCGTATTTAACCCGGGGAGGAGTGCGTTTCGTCTAGAAATATATTGTTTAATATATCGCGCAATATAATCCGTGTGCACTCAAACTCCTTAGGATTTTTCTCCCGTCAACGTTTTTAATATCGCCGGGAAACCTCATTGAAAAAGGATGAAACGCGCTCTCTCGCGGTGGCCGTCGACTGCAAGTCCGCCACTTTTCTTTTTTCCGCGCGTTCTTCTCCGATCCTCTCCGGTCACGAAGCTCCTCGCCGGACGATTGCCAATAATAATTTTGTGACCGTCGATCGCGCGCGCCGCACGTAAACGATACTCGAGTTCGAGACTCCATTCACCCTCTCTCACCCCACTGTTTCTAATCCCCCGACCACCGGCGAACGGCTTTCGAGACGGCCGAACGCACGCAACGGGAAAACTCTGGCCGCGGTCCAAAACCCGACGGAAGCCAAAAACGTACAGGAGTGCACGGAAGCGCTTCACGGTTAAGTGTTCCATTGTGCGCAGGCTGTCTGGCGCTCACGCCACCGACCGCGGAGTGAAAAGAGACCAGTGGCGCACCTGAAATTCCTAATGCCCGTGAAAAGATATCACGTAGCGTAGCTCGCTACAGCAGTAACCAAACCGCAACCACTACTTCAAAAAAAAAAAATAAATAAATAAATAAATATGAAATGTGAATTTCAGTGTCTAAAATATCTTGAAATATTGCGATATTGTCGGGCCCGTCGAACAGTTCACGTGTATGGATTTAAAATAAAAAAAAATTAAATCCGTTTTCCTTTTCGCCGTTTTTCGTGGTTTTCTCGGGTTTTCGGCTATTTTCGCGCGTGCCCCGGCGGTAAACGACGTCCGTCGTACAAGACGCGGCGCTAAAAAAAAAAAAAATGTGAGGAGAAATAGCGATACGGACCGTCATCGTCGTCGTCGTCACGGGCGATTATTATTGTTGTACGCGTGTGTACGGTTTCACGGTGGGGGGCGGCTGGGGGATAGGGGAAGCGAGGCGATAATTTCCGCCCGGAGAAAAAACGAAATAAATAATAAACCGGGCTGACGAAAGCCGGAAAAACTGCGGGCGAAAACTTTTCCGTACGGGGCGAAAACTTTTCGCGAAACGCGTTCGCTGCCACACGCACGCAGTAATACGCGAACCCCGCCGCCGCCGCCGCCGCCGCCGATACGTGTGCGAGTAGTCGAGACGGCCTCGGCTCGTACGGTTCGTTTCGTACACGCGCGCGCACGAACTTTCGTTTCCTGCGCGGCCGTTAATTGCTCGAAAAACGTCTTCGGGCACCCCGCCCGCCCGGCCAGGTGAGCGCGGACGACACGGCGCCGACCGCGGGAAATCCATTGGCGCGCCGTCGTCCGGGTGAATCGCGAAACGACACGCGCCACGCGTGTATAACAATCGCGAACTGAAATACACCGGACACCACCGACGTTGTGTCCGCGACGAGTGTGTCCCAGCCCGAATCCGCGTGTGCAGGTACGTACTGATGGATTGATTTCAGAAAAAAAAAAAAACACGGCCGCTCCGGTTACGGCCGATATTGTATACTGTTGGCAAAGCGCCACTGTCAACTGAACACCGTTCAAAATCGTTTTTTTCCGCAAGCAATGGTTTATCGTTGCGTACGTCAAATCAACCGTGGCTGTGGCCCGTCTCCGTCATCCCAGGACGGCTCTTTCAATATTGTCGGCGATAAAATTGACAGTTTTATTTTCGTATTTTTTCTCACAGACGTTGTACTGTTTACGTCGAACTGTGGGTCGGAATCCGTCGGTACACAAATCTCGTTCGCCGTAGTACAATTGATACGTTCCGTCGCTCCTGCCCGCTTTACTTCCTTGAAAGTCTCGTACGTATTTCGTACGCGCTAAACGACATTTTCTATTTGTGGCAGTAATAAATTTTGCGTAATCTATAGTCGTGGGTTGGAGGGAGCGGGGGGGGGGAGTGCCGAGGCGAGGCCCCTGCCCCGATCGCCTTGATCCGCCGCCGTCCCGGTGACAGATATTAGCGAGTGTGTCGGAACTGCGGCCGAAGTTTCCGTCGATAGAGCGTGCTCGTAGATTTCGATAAATAAACGCGTGTAAGACGCGCGTCGAAGTCTAAGTAGTCGTCCGGTACCACGCGCAATTGCAAGATACGGGCGATAACCTTCGGGAAGGTAGGATGTATACGAAAATCGGTAATTCAAGTCCGTACGCAACGATAAAGCGATTGTTAACAAAAAAAAAAAAAAACGACTCGAAGCAAAGTGTTTTATTTATACACGCGCGTAATTAATTTTCCCGATTTTCTCGGCCATTGCGAAAACCGCTCGGAATATCAAAAACAAAAAAAAAAAACGACCACTTCACGGTGCGGTGTAAATAAAATCCAGATTCGGAGGAAAAGATGCACTAGTCGATATGTGGAAGGGAGATTTCCGGTAGAAAAGTCGCTCGCAGAATAAACAAAAATAAATTTTAAAACCCTGTGCTAGGCTAACAGGGACGGGTGCAGCCGCTGTTATGAACACGGGCGAAAAGTCGGGATGGCAATTCAATGATGCGTATCCGCGAGCAACGATAGAATTCCAATGCTAACGAAATAACGATTCTGATCGGAGTTCGGTTGATATTGTTGCTCCGTCAACAATACATTGTGTGTCCGCAATGTTAAAAATAATAAAATTGCGCGCGCATGGGCGAAGAGCGAAAACAATCGCGCGAAAACCGAGACACGTCCTCCGCGAAGTCACGACCCCGGACGGATTTCGGTGTGGAAACGAGTGTGCTGCGCTCGTGAACCGGCGAAAAATTGCCGGTAGAAAAGTCGCTCACGGACAAACGCCGCCATAAAACCGCTCGTACCTCCTTCACCCCGACCGGAATCTGAAACGTCACAGCGAAACCGAAACCTTTTCGCGCCGCGCTCCGAATCCATAGCCATTTTATCGGTTACGACGCGCGCCTGACCTGACCGGACGTCGTCCCCGGGACTCTCGCCCGTTCCCGGGGCGGTCGCGGGAGACGCGTATACGGGAATTCCGAGTGCGCCGGCCGGCCCGAAGCGAAAGCGGGAATGCCGTTCCGGGGTCGATAAACGTCTACCCGCACGTACCGGGCAGCGACGGACCGCGTTCGCCGAGTTACCCCCGTCGTTCCCGGCACGCGTCCGGAATCGCGTGGGACGGCGGCCCGACGGGAATTCCCCCGGCGTCGCGTCGCGGACGCGCGGCCGGCGGGACCGGGGTCCGGGGCGGTCGGTCCGCACGGCCGGCCGGTCTTCGTAGCGCGTTGCCCGCGGCCCCGGCGACGAGCGTAATTGTTTATTAATCGTCCGGCGTCGGTGCGTTTCACGCGCGGACGCGCGCAATCGATTTCACTCGCCCCGGGCGGCCCTCCGGAAATGGCCGCGGGCGAACGCCGCGAGGCCGGACGGACCGGACGGTCCCGGGACGCGGCGCCGGCGGAACGGCGACGGAATCCGCGGACGGATCCGTAGTTACGTGCGGCGAGAGGGGGCGGGGTATGGAGGGGGCGACGAGAAGTGCGTCGCGGTGGTCGCGTGCGGGACGGACGGACGGACGGCGCGACGAAAACGCGGTCTCGACCGGAGCGCGGTGACGGGGTGGGGGGGGGGGGGGTGGGGCACATAACCCTGCCCACCCTCCTCGATTTCCCCCTAGAGTAGAAATTTCCCGAACGTTCGTTTTCCGTCTAGCGCGCCCGGCGTTTCGCGGTCGAATATCGCGCGCGTGTACGGGTATTCGATATCCGGTTCGTTTCGTTTTCGCGTTCGCGGCCGAGCGCGCAACACACGTGATAACGACACCGTCATTGCGCGGCCGGTTTTCCGGTATACCCTCCCCAAACGCGTTTCGTTTTTTCGTCCGTCGAGCGAAAAACTATCGCGATTCCGTCCGCGCGAATACGTAAAATAAACAAACGCCTCCGTTCAGTATGGTTTTTCGGTTGGCAATCGTTTATTGTCGCTCACTGCGAGCGTACGTTAAACTACACATCACAGTTGCTGCGCCCGTCCCCACCGTCCCGTAACGTCTTTTTACTCTCGTTGATCGTATTTTTTCTGAAATCGTTCGTTCGATGGTTTCCAAGGGCTTCGGGCAGTTCCGCCCCCCCCCCCCCCCACGCACTAACACAAAATCCGCATTATGATTGAAAATATGTTCTCCCTCTGACCTAGACGATGCGGTTTCGCGTGCAAAATATCGACGGCTATTTTCGATTACAAATCTGATCCCCGGACGAAGCGATACTATTAGAACATTTGAGGTTTAGGCCGTGTGTTCCGTGATCCGTTTTCCTCTCCAGGCGTACGGGGGCGAGGGGGGCAGAATTCCGGTCCATACCATACTCAAATTGCGTTATTATCACGATTGTTCATCAGTGTAACTTTACTCGGCAATAATTATCCATAATATCGTACTCGTTCGTATTTTCAAAACGTTTTCAACTACCGACACTGCACTATAAAATAATACGCATCACGTACAATAACGTACGACCAACTAGTGGTGCGAGTATACGGTGTAGTTCATTCGTCGCACGATCAAAAAGAATAAAAAATTACGATGTTTGCAAACCAAAGTGCGCTCGTCTCTGTTATAATAATAATTATGTCGTTATAATAATTGAACAAGGTTAGTCGGTTTTCGCACGACAAAGAAGGATAAAACGAAACGAACCGATTGTCACTCGGGTACGTTTTGCAGAATATTAGAGCCCCGGTGCTCATTAAAATGACGTGTTCAATCAAAAGCCACCGACACAGCGAATTCGCAGTTCACTATCGATATAGGTGCACCCGTGCACCCACACGGAGTAGTTTTGCGCGCGGTTATTTCAAAAGTTTAAACTGTTACCCGAACCACTTAAAAGTTCATAACATCGAGGCGATTATAATGATTCCCGTGAAGGTGGAAAATGTGGGAACGCGTGCGCTGCGCTCGAAGCCTACGCGATAAATTATCCGAACTTTTTATGTAGGTACGTGGTGTTAAGTTGCAAAGTTTATAAAATAGAGGGGATAAAAGGCGAAAAAAAAGAATATTATTTTATTTCCGTCGTGTTATAATACAAAACAAATATCGTTATTATTATTATTGTTATTATTGCCCACGTCGTTGTTTGAACCGTCGTATAATTGTTTCACACGATTTCTTCGCGCGTCGCAAGCGCAATATATTTTTTGTAAATCCCGCGTGGCAACGGCAGCTGGGCAACGAAACCGGCATAATATTACAAGCAAGGCGAGTAACGTTGATTTCGTACAAGGATTTGTTATAGCGACGTGTCGATACGCCCGGTAATAATATTACCGCGTTAAATTGTTAATCGGAGGGAACTGAAGACTGACGGACGGTAAGAAAAACGAAAAGTGCGTTGCGTTTTGTTTTTTCGTTTACGTTGTTCTTAATTCGAAAACGCCTCGGTGATCTGCACGCGTTAGAACACGCGTTTACACCGCCCTCGCATTCGCTTTGACGGAGTAGCGTTTCTGTGAACTATTAGCGCTGGCAGCCGACGATCCGATCTTTACCGCGTAAACCGTTGATTGGAATGTACGATTTTTTTTTTTCTTCTTTTCTATACGGATTTTAGCCGAAATCAAATTTCGACGAAAATCGTAAATGCCGCGGCTTTTCAAAACCCGTACGGCGCGCGAACCGCGCGCCCGGAATCGTTTTTCGTTAACGGACGCGCATTTAGTTTCCCGTCTGCGTTCCCGAACTGTCGCTCGTACAACAGTGACTGGTGAGACCCGTCGTTCGAGCGTGTCCGTCCTTTTGTGTTTTTCGTAGAGAGCGCGATTATCGTGTAAACGGCTCGTTGTCTTTCGCGCCGCGCGGTCTCGCGTTTTCACTACACGCCGTGCACGTCATAAATTGTAACGCGCCGCAACCGCGTCGACGAGAGTAAATTAATGACGAGGCAGCGTGCTTCGAGCGTCCGGGCTGTACACGGCAGTATTTTTACGGCGCAAAGTTATTCGGCAGTCGCGCGAACGGAAGTAACTTTTCTGCTTTACCGCGGCACGCACGCACGACGTGTTTACGCGCGCGCGGGCGCGGCCGCGACGCGAGAACGGCGGCGCGGGACACCGTTCCTCCCTCGGATAACGTACAACGAAACGAGTGTGTCGCCAACACGTCCACGGGGCATCCCCGCTGAAACATTTTACGTCGCCTAACATCTTCGCGCGGCGCGTGTTTTGTGTTTCGAACGGGACATCGCGTGTGCGTACGTTACTAAGAATACGGGACCGCTTGAGGAGGTTCTATTTGACAATTGTCACCGTGTATCGTAAACTAATAATGTCCTTGACAACATTTAAAATTTAACTTTTGAATTCCGAGCGAAGCGAAGAAGCCTATGGTTTTACCAAGACGTTTATTTATTTGTTATTATTATTATTTTTTTACTTTTTTTTTTTTTTTTTTTTTTATCTGTTAACCACTCTCCTACCAGAAGACTTGTTCGGATTTCCAAGTATATTATTTTTTCTGAAAGGCAATCGGTTCGCGTAGTTTCCTACTATGAGGAGGTGATTTGTCGATTTTCTCATAAAATTTCATAAACCGAAAAGAAACGGCAACCGTACGTGAAATGTAATGGCACTCGATAAGACACTGCACAGCGACACACGTCCGACCATACTTTTTAGCAACATCTCTCAGCAATGTAATAAATACCGGTGTTCGAAACGGACCGGGACGCACCGGAGACTGGCGCGGCGTTCCGGTCGATCGAAATCGGAATTTTAGAGTTCCGGTCCGTTAAAATATCAAGACGGCGTGTTGAACATTGAAGTAATTAAGACAATCGCCACTCGGCAAAATGTTTCCGACGGTATCCTAACCAAAGGGATTAAAATGAATAACGATAATTTTGCAAAAAAAAAAAAAAAATCGCATTTTTCGTTGAAAAATCCCCTATAATAATAAAACGATTAAATCGCGAACGGTTATTTTTCATTATAAACCGATATGCGCGTGATCGCATGTACGCCTTAAACGGGTTATAGTCGAATATCGTTTGCAGAGTGGCATGACACCGGCCTGGATAATACGGCGGACGTTTCGTGCGGACGCCCGGCACTGAACAAGACGGCATTGTAGGGAATTGCCGAACCGTTCGCCCGTAACACGTACGCCGTCCAATTAATTTTACTATCGGTAAACCGGAACGCGGATCGGCGCGCGTTAAGCTCGGCGCTCCGTGTCGCAGCGCCACAATTATCTGTACAGGTAAATATAATTAATATGCGTACATATTTACATTTCGAAGCTTTGTCCGGGGTTCTCCGTGATCTATTCAATTTTCAACGAACGCGACGTGCCTCGGTCAAAAAACACGTTGGCCGGGCGTCTGTCGAACACACTTACGCACCTAGATCACGCTCGTTCTGCTCCCGGCCAGTCCGCCGGCCGTATTGCGTCGCGAGCTAAGTTTTTACGGACGAAAATACGCACTGAATGTGCCGCGGAATTGGATACCTGTACGTAATTGCCTACCAACGTAGGTAGCTGCGTTTTTTTTTCAAATGGAACATAAATTTGTGACGGTACGCGTTTCGAAAGAACGTCGGTTCAACGTTTCTGAGACGATTGAGAGAATGATTTCCGTTCGTGATACCATTAAAACCTACGCGTTGGATATTCGGACGTATTATATTTCATTAGGTAGTTTGTGATAAGACCGATAGCAGTGGTAACGGTGTGATGCACTCGTGACATGCTGGCGACACGTTTTATTGCTTATAGCCCTGTCCGTTGTACTCGGGTGTCTAATATGTGACGCGAGGCGTTAGCCCCACGAGCCTCTTCGCGGACACCGTCACTATGCGAGCCGTTTCGTTTCTCCCCCGAAGTCGGCAAAGAAACAACGCGCGAAAACCATAAAACAACATCGCAATAATAATAACAACAATAATAACAACAGTAATTTATAATACAATATTAGACTGTTAACATGCCACGGGTGAAAAACGTAATTATTTATGGCACCTTCATGGCCGCGGAACATTTAGACGGTGACAATTTCAGACAACTTCCGTGACATTTGCTGCGGGGGCGGTGGAGGGCGATGGGTTGAATAATCAATGGAAACCGGAAACAGTTGTTCGCAAAGTTTTATACTACACGGCCGCGGTATGGAAGTTCTATAAAACTTCTTACAATAGGGGATAATGTAGTGCGGCGGGGTGACATAATATATAGAAACTCTATTTTGGCTGCACAACAATGTTCCCGTCATTAATGTATCCGCCGGAGAACCGCACTGTAATTCGCCTACCGATATAATACACCTGCGGGACTACGCGTGTATTTGCAGTATAATATTATGTGCGTTTACGGTATTTTATATCAATCGTTTTTTTTTATCTATTTTTTTCGTGCATTCGTGCGCCAAGACCGCACAAGTTAACGATTTTTTTTTTTCAGCTCGGTTAGGTTGAATTTCAATAAAGTGTATTGAAAATAATCTATCAATTAAACCGAGTTAGAAGTTCATCAAACGTTAAAATTAACTTCTTAACTCGAGTAAAAACAATTAAACGAAAATGTACATATTATTTGTTATACCTACCGTAATGACCCGACAATCTACCTATAACCCACCTCAGGCAACAACAGTAAAAAATAATAGTTGTTCATAAAAATTTGTATCTTAAAACGTTCGTAATATATTGACGTAACAATAATAATGTATTTATTTGCATACGCTTTTACAAATAAAAACTAAAATCGACTTAACATGTTTAAATATAAAATTACTAGTTCAGCGGTTACCAAACTGTGTACCGCGGTGCCCTAAGGACAACGCGAGTATTTTCCAGGGGCACCGCGGCTCACAAAAATGATTTATAATTTGTCGTAATATTTTTAAATTTCAAATTTAATCTTATACAAAAAATGTACTAGGTCGGCTGTATGTTTAGACTGAATATATTTGTATTATATTCAGTAAAACTATAAAAACTGAATATCATTGACGATCAGTGTTGATTTTTTTTATGTATATTTCTCGGGTACTCTTTGAAGAGCACCTTGGTCGAATTAAGTCCAAAAAAAAAAGGCACCGCCGGAAACAAAGTTTGGGAACACCTGCTCTAGTTCATTAAAATCTGTTCCCTTTGCATTCCTCAAATTTACAATTAAGTTTAAAAATTTAAATTAACTCAACTCTAACTTAATAACTCGTTAATGTCCTGGTGGTACCATACATACCCACGTCTTGCCTACGATCGCCAGCAGTGAGTCAGTGGATCCCACGATTTAAGTGTTTCGTATGCGGTCGTTACTTTAATTCGACATCGTTGACCGCGTGTAGTGTTCGCGGGCGCAGTTGAACGGAAACCGGTACAAGTTTAGAACCTACTCGGTATGAAGACTTTTAATAATAATAATAATAACAATGAAATCGTGTCTGAAATGGAGGTGAATAAGGGTCGGGGGAAATGCCGCAGAGCAATGTTTACACGGACCGTAGGTACGACTCAAACGTGTGTGTGTGTGTGTGTGTCGGTGTGATGGTGATAAAAACGATATTGACGAATTATTATTTTCTTTATTTCTAAACCTTTAAAATGGAAAATAACGTATCGGTATTGAAACGGTGGACGACGAATAGACTCGGTGTATAGTTACGCTTAGGCTACACAACACGTTGCGGTGGTGGATCTGAAGCCCGTTTAAGGAGGGGGGACAAACCGGTGTCGTAGACACTGTAAACGTATTACAGTGGAACGGGGTCCGACATTTATTTAATACGGAGTACGCGTCGGCGATTGTTTACGTTTATCCGTACACGTAAATACCTAATTCTAGAATTTTTCACAAAAAAAAAAAAAATCTGAGGTGTTTCTCTTCCCTCCTAGAAATCCGCTACTGGACATGCGCCGTGGCCGCTATGCGGAGTCGTAGTCCGCGATGTCGAAACAGCAATAATAACATTATAATACGTTTCCAAGGACCGCTCTTTATTCGTACGCACGATATTGGATGTCGTGTTTACGCATACACACACACACACACACACACACACACATATGTATACGTATACGAAAACGGTCGCGAAACGGACGGAATTCTCTACCTAATCTTAAAAAAAAAAAAAGAAAAGAAAATTCACCCGCTCCGAATATTTTTTACGTCTTTGGCGATTCCGGTGGTGGACAAATCGACGAGCCGGAAATACGTAATAACGTATACCGTATAAGCCGCGTACCGGAAGACGAGTATGCGCGTACACAGATGCGAGGGGGGGGGATGGATGGGAAATAACTTTACCGTCCGCTGCGGTTTCTATACATTATATTATATGTAAATATTGACTGCGGACGAAATTGATTTAGGTCAGATGTAGCGAATCTTTTTTTATTATTTTTTTTTTCCGTCTCGTTTTCGGCAACAATACCTTCCGATACGGTACTCGGCGACCCAACAAATAGATTTCTCTTTCTTTTTTTTTTTTTCCAAGCGCCGTATTATTATTACGTTTCGGGAGTATGCTGCACGTGCGTTTGCAGCCGTCTTACG